AGGTTCAACAGATTCAAGAAGTGAAGTGGCATACACAGTGTTGTAAGGCATGGTGAAGCTGCAAGTTCAGACAAATGTGCAGCTGAAGCATTTGTTGATGAATTCGAGGGGTACGTAGAGGCTGAAGGATTCCTCCCCCAACAAGTGTTCAATTGTGATGAAAGAGGCCTGTTTTGGAAGAAAATGCCAAAGAGGACATATGTCACACAGGAGGAAAAGGCACTGCCAGGACAGAAGCCTTTGAGGGATAGGCTAACTCTTGTTCTGTGGTAACGCTAGTGGGGATTTTAAAGTGAAGCTTTTATTCGTGTATCACTCTGAAAATCCCTAAGTGTTCAAGAAAAACAAAGTCATGAAGAGTAAATTGTGTATGACATGGGTCACAAGGCTAATTTTCATTGAGTGAGTCAATGAAGTTTTGGCTCCAGTGTGAAGGAATACCTCCTGGAAAATAAATTGCCACTTAACCCTTTCAGGGTTTCGGCCGTACTAGTACGGCTTACGCACCAGGGTTTTTGACGTACTAGTACGCCTAAATTCTAGTGCCCTCAAATCGAATGAGAGAAAGCTGGTAGACCTACATATGAAAGAATGGGTCTGTGGTCAGTGTGCGTGGTATAAAAAGAATCCTGCAGCACACAGTGCGTAATGAGAAAAAAAAAACTTTGACCGTGTTTTTGGATTAAAACAGCGACTTTGCACTGTATTTTCGTATGGCATTTATTGTTGTATTCTAGTTTTCCTGGTCTCGTTTTATAGAATGGAAGACATATTACAGAAATTGAGATGACTTTGACTGGTTTTACAATGAAAAGTACCTTGAAATTGAGCTCAAAGTAGCAGAAATGTTCGATTTTTACCAAAGTTCAAAAGTAAACAGATCATGCTAGGCGTCCAATACACGTCAACTGGTGAGTCTAATATTCTTTCACAAGTGCACTGATATTATTTATACCATTTCTACACTAATGCAGTAGTCTGCATAACAGTAAATCTTCTATTTTTTTGTGAGAATAAAAATTCAAAGTGGAAAGCAAAAGAAAGTAAGAGGGGCGTGGGGACGTGACTAATGAACAGAGGAAATGTTATTTTAGTGCCAGAAATGTCTTTCTTGTTTATTCTGAACTCTATTCGGAAATTGGCATCTTTTGAAATTTGTGTGAAATTGGCAAAATTGCTAAATTTTGACCACTGTATTGGATAGTTGAAATCGGTATATGGGTGGTTTCTTGTACTCATTCAATAGAAAAAAAATGGAGTTCTAGCGAAATAGTTATGATTTTTGTCGACTAGTACACTGGAATTGGCTGAAAATAGGGCTCAAAGTGGGCAAAATCGCTGATGTGTAAACATCGTTGAGACCGCTAACTTTGCGAGAGCATAATTCCGTAAGTTTTCCATCAAATTTCATACTTTTGCTGTCATTATGATCGGGAAAAGATTCTCTATCTTTTCATAAGAAAAAATAATTTTCTTTTTAAATTTGGACGACCCTGAGAACAAGTCTCTGAGAGGGCCTGTCGACCCTGAAAGGTTAAGTACCTCCTGGTGCTGGACAGTGCTCCTGCTCATCCTCCAGATTTGGAGTGTAAGTTCATCACAGTGAAATTCTTGCTCCCTAATACCACTCCTCTCATCCAGTCCATGGACCAGCAGGTCATTTCAAACTTCAAAAAGCTGTATACCAAAGCAGTGTTTCAGAGGTGCTTTGAAGTGACCTCGGACACTGAATTAACCCTAAGAGAGTTCTGGAGGAATTACTTCAGTATCCTCCATTGCATAAGATTTATAGACAAACCTTGGCAGGGAGTGACTTTCAGGACTTTGAACTCTTCTTGGAGAAAATTGTGGCCACAATGTGTCCTCGACAAGGATTTTGAAGGGTTTGAGGCTGACCCTGGCCTATCATGGAATGTATGTATTGTGTCTTTGGGGAAGTCCATGGGGTTGGATGTGAGTGACCAAGATGTGGTAGAGTTGGTGGAGGGCCACAGGGAAGAGCTAACCACTGCAGAGCCGCAGCACCTTCAGCAGGAACAGCAGCAGACTGCAATTGAGGATATTGCTTCAGAGGAGGAAGAGAGGGGGGAGAATGTGCCTTCTTCAGTGATTAACCCTTTGGGGGTCGACAGGCCCTCTCAGAGACTTGTTCTCAGGGTCGGCCAAATTAAAAAAAAAAAAAATTATTTTTTCTTATGAAAAGATAGGGAATCTTTTCCCGATCATAATGACACCAAAAGTATGAAATTTGATGGAAAACTTACGGAATTATGCTCTTGCGAAGTTAGCGGTCTCGACGATGTTTACACATCAGCGATTTTGCCCACTTTGAGCCCTATTTTTGGCCAATTCCAGTGCACTAGTTGACAAAAATCACAATTATTTCGCTAGAACTCCATTTTTTCTATCGGATGAGTACAAGAAATCACCCATTTACCGATTTCAACTATCCAATAAAGTGGTCAGAATTTAGCAATTTTGCCAGTTTCACACAAATTTCAAAAGATGCCAATTTCCGATTAGAGTTCAGAATAAACAAGAAAGGCATTCCTGGCACTAAAATAACAAGTTCTCTGTTCGTTAGTCACATCCCCAGGCCCCTCTTATATTTCTTTGGCTTTCCACTTTGAATTTTTATTCTCACAAAAAAATAAGATTTGCTGTTATGCAGACTACTGCATTAGTGTAGTAATGGTATAAATAATATCAGCGCACTTGTGAAAGAATATTAGACTCACCAGTTGGCGTGTATTGGACGCTTGGGATGATTTGTTTACTTTTGAACTTTGGTAAAAATCGAACATTTCTGCTACTTTGAGCTCAATTTCAAGGTACTTTTCATTGTAAAACCAGTCAAAGTCATCTCAATTTCTGTAATATGTCTTCCATTCTATAAAATGAGACCAAGAAAACTAGAATACAACAATAAATACCATATTAAAATATAGTACAAAGTCGCTGTTTTAATCCAAAAACACGGTCAAAGTTTTTTTTTTTCTCATTACGCACTGTGTGCTGCAGGATGTACTAGTATGTCTGAAACCTCCAAAGGGTTAAGGACATTTGTGCAAAGTGGAGTGAGGTGCAAAGTTTTGCGGAGAATTATCACCCTGACAAAACTGTTGCAAGCCGTGTTTGCAACATGTTCAATGACAATGGCTTGTCCCATTTTAGGCAAATTTTACAGAGATGCCAGAAACAGGCCTCTCGTGGACAGATTTTGTGTGACAGTGGTGCAGTGACTCTCAAGCTAGTCCTAGTGCCAGTAAAAAATAAAGAACAGAAGTAACCCCAGAGAGGGTTTTGATACCTGAAGTCCTTATGGATGGGGCTTCCCCTTCCAAACAGTAAGCTCTCCTCCCTTTCCCTTCCTCTTCTTCTTCTTCTTCTTCTTCCATATTCCAACAAGAGTCTTCAGTAAAGGTATGTAATGTTCATTTATTATTAAAATTACTGCTTTATATTTCTTTCTCATTGTTATCTGTATATATTTTACAATGTTTTTTACGATGTTTTCACATGTTTTATGATTGTTCATGGTTCAATAGGTTAAGGAAGCAGTATTGTTAGGCTAAGTAAATGCTATTATTATATTTCCCTACAATATATTTGTGTACCAAGCATTCATAATTTTTCAACATTCTCATGGTTCTTGATCCCCTAACCCTTGCGAATGTGGAGGGAGACCTGTAATAATAGTAATATAAATAACAATAATTATATTTCAAATTAATGTACAAACATGCACAATAATTTGAAAGTCCATAGTAAGCATAGCATTTTGGGCAAACTTAAATTAGAACTATGACTACATAGTTTTTACAATCTTCTAATGAAAATGAAAAAGTTTATTTCCTTGTAAAGCTTACAATGTGTAGTTTAAACGTTATAAAATATTCATTACAAAGAAGGCCACTAGCATGCCTAGGCATATCAGGCAGACTAATACTAATTCTTACTCTGTATTGTTATAGGTTATGGAGCAGTACATGTTAACATACATTATTAGATACATAATTAGATACATACATAATTAGGAATATAATACAAGGTATTGACTGGAATTAAATAGTTGAGATATAAGTTACGTGATTATTCATTGAAAAATAAAAACTTTGTTATTGAAAAGTTGTGAAAAACTGAGTAGGAGATACAGAGTGGCATATTACATGTTTCTGTTTTATTGTTAAATAATGTAAGTAAATTTTGAGTTACGTTTCCCTAAAAAAAACGCAGATGTATTTTAAAATTATCTTGAGGGCACACGGTGTTTTGGGTACATAAAAAAAAGCACGCTCTGTAGATTTATCCTGGGATAACTCAGTAAAGTCAAATAACTTACATCACCTGAATAACACTCTGCACCTTATAAACATTTTCTTCTCCAGTCTCTCTGAAAATGTTATTGACCTGTGTAAAACAAATACAAAGAATACTTTTTATTAATTGTCAAATGGAGCTGCAGAGAGTATTTGGAGAAGTGTCCAGAAGGTGGCCATCTTGGAAAGTCTTGAAAAAAAAAAAAAAAAAAAAGAATTTGCCCCATCTAGACTAATTCTTGGAGACTTTTTTCCATACAGCTCAATGGACATCCATGTAACTTCACAGAAAAAATCAGTTCTCACTGTTTCCATACTGATCCTTAATGCTCCTGTACTAACAGTCTCAACAAGATTTGAAAAATTTCTTTCATTTAGGGCCAAACTCAATTGTCTTGAGTTACCAATCAAGGGTTAGTATCTGGACCTCTTGAGATTCTATAGTTTCCCAAATGCCTAGCAAAAGGGATGTTATCTGATGCATATTCAGAGGACAGAAACATGCACAAAAACATCTTCAAATTATCAACCACTAAACACATTTTACTGACTGTGTATTAAATACATACTTTTGTGTGCTGGTTTATCTTTCAATAAGACACAGCAAGAATATGACTGGATGTTGAGTGTTGTTTTTTCTACTTTAATATTAAGTGATATATGTAGATTTATTTGTTACAGGTGAGTGGCATTGGCAATGTGATGGAGCAGCAACTTCAGGCCCTGGACATAAGTGTCTGCTCACATTTGATAGAGAAGCGTGGCCTTCTTAAGCTTCTCTTCTCTGATAATAGTTACAACACTTTTATAAGCATTGCTTGGGCTTAGGCCATACCACACTTGAGTCATGGACAGAAAAAGACCGCAAATCAATAAGTACTGAGACTACATTTAGAAACACTGCAGATAAAGCTACACTTTTCAAACTAATTGAAGAGTTATGTAAAGAATTAGCAGATGAAATGGAACAGAAGACCATAGTTGGGAAAGCTTTCACATTAAAGTTAAAAACTTCCGATTTCCAAATAAGAACTCGCACTCAGACTTTACCTGATGCTACCTGTGCACTTGATGTAATGGTTTCTACTGCAAGGCGACTCTTGCAACATGAGATGAACACATCTGTTAAACCTCTTTCATTGCGTTTATTGGGTGTACGCATGTCAGTGATTAGAAATTCATCTGAGATGGGTCCAAGTCGTCAGACGACTCTTACACAAATGTTTTCAAGATCTCTTAAACCTAAAATGAATTCCACCTCAGACTTGATTGGAAGAATGTTTGTTGAAGATAAATTTAATTGTGATGAAGACCAATCACATTTAAAGAATTCACACCAGTATGATGCTGGAAGTTTTGCACTTGCTACTACAAGTGAAATACAGTCATCCTGTCAACAAGACACAAATTTGATAACTTGTGATGCAGTAAAAGTTAACAATCACTTCAACATTGGACGACAGTATGCCAATGGAGTACTTTCTTGCTAAACCTAGAGATACTTTAGATTCCTTTCCAACTAGAAGCCACGAATGCCCTGATTTAGGACACAGTAGCAAAAGTAATGACTCTAATAAATACTGTCAGAGTGAAAATGGGCAAGACTTAAAGCATTGTGAAAATCTACAAGATCTTACAAGTACTAACACAGGCATGCCAGAGGACCCAATTACTGATTTTTTGTGCCCAGTGTGTGAAAAGAAGCAATTTAAGACTTTAGACTCCTTAAATATGCATGTGGATGAGTGCCTCAGTTGTAATACAATCAGTGAAATTTTGCAGGAAGGTACAATACAGCCAAAACAGTCTGGCTGTAACCAAATTCCTTCCATACCTTCAGTTGCAAGTTGCACTGAATGTGCTTCTCAGTCAGAGGTTACAGGGAAACGGAAGGGAAATAATTCAAACAAAGGAAAGAAAAAGGTGAAGATGGGAAGTAATACATTAGAGAAATATTTCTCATCATGATTATCTTAATCTAATTTATATTAGCGTTTAATTATATCACCCTTATTAAAATATTTTCAAATTGTTGACTGTGCATAATTTTGTCGAAATACATGAAGAATAAATTTATATTACAATATTTTATTTCTTATTTAGGCTAAGATGATTATAATGAAAGGAATTTTGTAAGCAGCAACTTAACTGCTTGTAGAGTGATGTTTACAAGGTTCCATGCACACGATGCCCTCGTACATACGTCAGGCAGACATAAATCATAAAAATCAGACTAGTCAACATCAGTACTTGATAGGATGGCTGGGGAGTCAAATGCACTCTTTACCATGTATACTTGAGCTCCACAGGGTGGGCAGCAGCTCAGGTCAATCAGTACAATTTTTTATTTCTTAAGTGAGAAATAATGAGTTTCATGAAAAGAACTTTGGGTAGGTACAAAAGAAACCCACTAATAGCAGCTTTTTGGACAAACTAAATTTTACTTAAGTTTTATACAATATTCATGCAGTTAACTAAAATCATATGTACAAAAAGAAAGGTACTAGTAACAAATGGACCATTTCAAACTGTTCAATGATTTTTATTTTGTGAGTGATTGAATAGAAAAGGGTGAAGATACAGGAAGTTTCCTTATTTACAGAGAAATACAAAGCGACAAGTTGGGGTTTACCATTTATGTATGAAATTGAAAGAAGTCGGAAGAAAAACACTAAGGGAGAGTGCTTTTAAAAATAGCTCTAAATTGATTAGCAGATAGGGGGTTTTTTGAATCTTCAAAAAAGAATTCAGATTTTAGGCCTTTTTTTTGCTTGTTTTTTGCAAAGGGGAGCTAATATGGGGGATGTAAAAAGGGGGGTTTTGGCTTAGTTATGCCTGTGCACCTGTGCCTTTGCAGCTATTAACCCTTTGACTGTCAAAAAAAAAAAATTTTTTTTTCTAGCCAAAATCTTTAAAATATTTTTCTGAAAGTTTTAAAAAAAAAAATTTTTTTTCAACATACTTACCAAGAAGAACGTGAAGCTAAAAAGGGGAAAGCTTGGCAACTCCACTCTGCTTTCTCGGGAATGTTATTTTTTTTTTATTTTATTTTTTTTTTTTATTTTTTTAAAATTTTATTTTTCAAGTATTTGTGTCCTGTGAGACCAATATAAGTGTAATTTTAATACCACTGTTTTACAACACAATAAACCCCACAAATATTTTCATCTTAAAAAGTTACAAAAACCGTTTACACAAACCAGCAATAAAAAAATTTTTTTTTTACCAGTTTTTTTAATAATAACACTTATAGATTACTGGGCATATTTCCCGGAACTGCTACAGCTTTTGGGAAAATTGTTTGTGTGTGGGGGGTTAAGGTAGCCTTTGTTTTGGGTGGCTGAGAGCGGCGTGGCCGGTGTCACATGATGCATTACACAACCACCACCACCCATTACCCGTACCGTCTTCCACAATAAGCATGCTGTCTTCCAAACTACCCGTATGGAAATAAGTTCTACATTATTTAACTTATAAGTGCTAGGGTTGTGGACACTCCTGAGCTTCAGAACCTTGCATTTATCTACATTGAACTGCATCTGCCACTTTTCTGACCAGGTATTGAGTTTGTCTAAATCCCCCTGAAGTTCCCTGATATCTACGTTTGAATCATTTATCCTACCTATCTTTGTGTCATTGGCGAATTTACTCATTTCACTAGTAATTCCCTCATCAAGATCATTGATATATATATTATAAACAACAATGGGCCCAAGACTGATCCCTGTGGAATGCCACTTGTTACAGATCCCCACTCGGATTTAACCCCATTTATGGACACACTGCTTCCTGTCTGTGAGACATGACTCGATCAATGAGAGCACTCTTCCCCCAATTCCATGACCTGCCACTTTCTTTAACAGTCTTTGGTGTGGAACTCTATCAAAAGCTTTACTAAAATCTAAGTAAATAATATGAAATTCTTTATCATGATCAACAGCCTCAAAAGCTTTACTGAAAAAATTAGTTAGACAAGAACGGCCTCTTGTGAATCCATGCTGAGTATCATTAATCAGATTATGCTTATCCAGATGGCTTCTTATAATCTCAGCTATAATTGACTCCAGCAATTTGCCTACAATTGAGGTCAGGCTTATTAGGCGGTAATTTGATGGTAACAACTTATCCCCTGATTTAAAAATAGGAATAACATTAGCCATCTTCCACATATCAGACACTATACCTGTTTGAAGAGATAAATTAAAAATATTAGTTAATGGTTCACAGAGTTCCATTTTACATTCCCTAAGAACCCTTAAATAACCCTTGAAAAAAGCTCATCAGGTCCCGGTGACTTATTTTGCTTCAGTCGATCAATTTGTTTTATAACCATTTCACTAGTGACTGTGATGTTACATAATTTATCTTCTTCAGGCCCACTATAAAAATTAATTACTGGGATATTGTAATTGTCTTCCTGTGTAAAAACCGAGAGAAAATAATTATTTAAAATCGAGCACATTTCGTTCTCTTTGTCAGTAAGATGCCCAGTTATTTTTAAGGGGACCTATCTTATCTCTAACTTTTGTTCTATAAACCTGGAAAAAACTTTTTGGGTTAGTTTTTGAATCCCTGGCAACTTTAATTTCATAGTCTCGTATAGCTTTTCTTATCCCCTTTTTAACGTCCCTCTTAATGTCAATATACTGATTCATAAGATGACTCACCTCTTTTGATGCGCCTATAAATTCCTTTCTTATGCCCTAAAAGATATTTGAGCCCATTATTCATCCATTTTCGATCATTTTGTGTTTGATCTAATTTCTTTATAAGGTAAAAATGTTTTTGGGGGGGGCACATGTATATTGATAACTCTTTCGTTACCCCCAGTCAACAGATGATAAGTGTTCTCTAAGCCCATTGTTATCTGCTAAGCAAAAATCTGGGATTGTTACTGAGTTATCCCTAGTCTCATACTTCCATTCAATGCTAAATGTAATTGATTTGTGGTCACTAGCACCAAGTTCCTCTGAAATTTCTAAATTATTAACAAGGGATTCATTGTTTGCCAAACTAAGCCCAACGGTTATTTCCCTTTGTAGGTTCTGTCAAAAACTGCTTCAAAAAAACAATCCTAAACTACTTCTAAGAAGTCGTATGATTCTAAATTGCCAGTCAAGAAATTCCAATCAATATGACTTAAGTTAAAGTCTCCTAGAATTACTACATTATCGTGCCTTGTGGCCTTAACAAATTTCCTCCCATAGTAGTCTCCCTTGGTCCCTATCAAGTTTGGGGATGGTAATCACACCTAAAATCATTTTTTCATGCCCTCTGAAAATTCTATCCAGACCTGTATGTGTTTAATTCAACTTATACCTTTTTTATGCAACAGTTCAGGCGATCTCGGACATACAATGCCACCCCACCCCCCTTCCCGATACTTCTATCTACTTGGAACAATTTAAAACTCTGAATGTGACATTCTGCAGGCATGTCCCGACTTTTTGAATTAAACCAAATCTCAGTTTTAAAGGGAAATACATCAATGTTACCTGCACTAGCAATTAATCTCAACTCGTCCATCTTATTCCTAGCACTATGGTTATTAGCATAATATACTTTGCAAGACCCTCCTTTCTCTTTACCCTTCCTGCTCATTTCTGTTTTTCTACTAAACCTATTACTGTCCTTATCACCTAGTGTCATTGGCTTTTCAATATCTACCTCGTTCTGCTTATTACTAGTTCCCCTAGAACTCATAATATTACTACACTGGGACTTCACTGTTTTCCTGCCAAAACCCATACCACTAACTATTTCTAGTTTAAAGTTCTAACAGCTTCCTCCACTGCAGTTGCCAGTGCCCCCACCCCAGACCTAGATAAGTGAACCCCATCCCTGTCATACATGTCATTTCTGCCATAGAAGAGGTCCCAGTTGTCAATGAATGTTACTGCATTTTCCTTACAGTTTTTGTCCAGCCAGCAATTGACACCAATTGCCCTGGACAACCATTCATTTCCAACTCTCCTTGGCAAAATACCACATATGACAGGGTTCTCACCCTTCCTCCTAATATGGTTGTAGTCTCGTTTTCTTGGTCTCATTTGATAGAATGGAAAACATATTATAGAAATAGAGGTGATTTTGATTGGTTTTACTGTGAAAAGAACCTTGAAATGGAGCTCAGAGTATGGGAAATGTAAACAAATGATGTCATTTTCCAATAAATGTCCAAGTAGCCATTCTAATATGCAGTCATGAATGGGTTGACATTATTTATACAATTATTACAATATTGCAGTAGTCTGCATAACAGTAAATCTTCTATTTTTTGCTTGAATAAAAATTAAAAATAGAAAGCAAGAGTAATATGAGAGGGGCCTGGAGGCATGACTGATGAACAAAGAAAAAGTTATTTTAGAGCCAGGAATGTCTACATTGTTCATTCTGGACCTTATTTTGAAATTGTCATATTTTTTATTTTTCGTGAAATTGACCAAATTGCAAATTTCTGACCACGTTATTGGGTAGTTGAAATCGGTAAATGGGCAGTTTCTTGTACTCAATCGATAGAAAAAATGGAGTTCTAAAGAAATAGCTATGAGTTTGGTAGACTGGAACAATGGAATTAGCCGAAAATAGGGCTCAAAGTGGGCGAAATCCCCGATTTGTAAATATCGCCAAGGTCGCTAACTTCACGAGAGTGTAATTCTGTCAGTTTTCCATCAAATTTCTTTCTTTTGGTGTCATTACAATTGGGAAAAGATTCTCGATCATTTCATAAGAAAATTTTTTTTTTTTTTTTTTTTTTGGAAATTTTGCGACACCAGGAGACACCTCAGGGTTTGGGGTTGCGACAGTCAAGGAGTTAATTACATTCAGCTGTATTCACCCACCCACCAAGTCCAATAAGGGAAGGCTTAACAGTATACGAAAATGACAGGTCTGTAGGACTTTTTTCTTCAGTGCCAAACGAGGGAAAGAATTGAGCCTTTAAACATGGCTGACCAGCATCCAAACAGCAGCTACTGCCAGACATACAACTAGCGAAGTGAAATTCTCATCTTTACTGACGTTCATCTGTTGACAGTAACATCATATCTGTACCACCATCATATCACCTGTACCAGTACTAATGAG